TTGAGAATGAGTATGTCTATTTTAGTGGTGAGTCAAATAATTGCTTGGTGCCCTCCCTTAAAACTCTAAAACGACTTTTGATTAATTTTTTTTTAATTTTCACTTTGTATCTGGTGGTACAATGATTGAAAACTTCATCAATAAAAAAATAATATACTTGATCGTAGCCCCATGATGAAATGAAGAGCTAAAATAAAAACTTGAAACCAACACTTAATAGGTTAAGTTTGAGGTTTCATATTGCAAATAGGCCTTCTTAGTATAGTTTTCTTGATCTTACGATCCCTCCAATTTTACTTTTGTGTTCTTATTATAGTTTTCTTGATCTTACGATCCCCTCTAGTTTTACTTTTATAGTTTTACTGGAACTTTTTAAGTTTGAGGTATCATATTGCAAATAGCCCCCTTATTAATTGAACAGGAATTTGTGATGAATATGGGTGAGCAAACAGTTGGTTTTGGCTATTTTTTGTCAAATTGATCCAAAGCGAACTAGATTCAAAACCAAATCAAATAATTTTGATTCGATTCAGTTTAGACTTAGAAATGTAAAGTAAGACAATTTTTAGCTAAAAGATAAAGTTATATTACACATTCATAACTTTCACTCGTCTCATATTCCAAACTAAAGAGAAAACTCGTAAAATCAATAACTTTACAAACTAGAATCAAATATTTTATCAATTAGGATGCACAATATTAGTATAAATTATTTATTCACCTAGGAAGAGCAACAAATTTAGGCAATTATATTAAGAGCGATTGATTCGGTTACTTCAATTTCAAATATTTTAAAATCAAACTAAGCTAAAGTTTTTCTCAAACCGAATCAAACCATCAAAATTTGGTTGATTCAGTCAGTTTAGTTGTCTTACTGAACAATGTTCACCTCCCTAGTGGGAGGCAGAAGACCAACCAATAGCTTGGTGGATGAAGGCCGGCCACAAAGAACAGATAAAATTATTTTATAAAAATAATTAAGCTAATCAATGATATGTTAGTTGTTTATAAATTTAATTATAGTAGCTTAACAAGCTATAAAGGAATACTTAAATTCTATGAGTAGTATTTTAAGATATCGGGTTTGATTCTCTTGGGGAGCACACACAGAAATTTAATTTCCTATGAACTTCCTTTGGAGAGGATCTATTGAACTCATTGCTGGCAATCATCCAGTCAGATGGGGGACTGTTTGCACTCCTAAAGTTTGTGGAGAACTGGGAGTCCTCAACCTTCATCTCTTCAATATTTCTCTCCTCTCCAAATGGATTTGGAAATTCTTCGACAACAACAATCATATTGGAAGGGTTCTCCAATCCTTATATACATCCAATCTCCACAATCCAACTCCTGTTCATTATTCCAAATTCTGGAGAGATGTCCTTTCTTGCTATCAATTCTTCTCTGGAATCGTTAATTGGACTCTTGGAAATGGTTCGAAGATTCTCTTCTGGGAAGACAAATGGACGGGGCCTAACTCCCTTGCCAGCCTCTTTCCGAAGGCTTACCTTCTTGCTTTCTCCAAACATGTCCCCACTTGTTCCCAAGGTAGATATCACCTCTTTCCGAAGGCTTACCTTCTTGCTTTCTCCAAACATGTCCCCACTTGTTCCCAAGGTAGATATCAGGGGGATATTTGGAATTGGAAACCCATCATCAGGCGCCCTATTAACGAATGTGATAGAAGTTAGGTGCTTAATCTCTTGTAATTTCTGGCAGCTTGCAATTTGTAGCCCTCCACTGCAGCGAACAATCCATCTTGGTCTATATCCTCCTCTAACATATTTTCTGTCAAGTCTCTATACTCAATTCTTACAGACGTAGGATTGCGCCACCAATTCAATGCTATCATTTGGAACAATTTGCTTCCAAGTAAAGTTCAAATTTTCTTCTGGCTCTTGAGTTTATTCAGACTAAAGACCAAGGACAGATTAGCTAATCAAGGATGGTCAGGGGACTCCTCTTGCACCTTCTGCAGTTCCTAAGAATCCCATGATCACTTATTCCTTGAATGTACATTCACCAATCAGATTTGGGCTCCATTCCTTTCTAGGTTAAATATAGGCCCTCTCCTAGCAGGCATCAGACAGTATTTAGCTATCTGCTATTACTCATCCATCCGATCTTCAGCTCGTCATCTTTGGAGAATATGTTTTCCAACCATCTATTGGGTCATTTGGCAAGCTAGGAATGATTGCATCTTCTCCAACTTGTTCAGCACTCCCCAGCAAATCATCAACAAATCGGTTAATTTTCTTATTTTCTGGACAGGTGCATCAGCCTCCAATAAGTCTGAAGCATATCCTCCACTCCTCGGACATCCCAGACATTCTGGAATCAAGTGAAGATAGCAACAGGCCCCACTGACCTCTCAGTTTCTCAGCAGGTTCTTCCTGCAACTAGCAGGCCGAAACCCACTTCCAGGGTTCCTTTTGTTCTATAGCGAGCCTTTCTGTTGTTGTCTCTTTCATTCCCCTGAGACTATCCATTTTGTTGTTTTATTTGTTCTTCCTTTTGGTAAGTGGGTTGGAACAATGAAGATGTTTCCTTATCGGTGACGGCAAGACCCTCTCCAGGTAGTTTACATCTTCCATTAGTCCCTCCTACCTTCACCTTCCATAGTTTTGTTTATGTAAATTCTTACCCTCCTTATATTTTGCATATATATATACATGAACATGGCTTCTGGCCCTGTTTTTTCTTCAAAAAAAAAAAAATACCCGAGGTCATGCGTTGGGAGTGCCGCTTAGTTATTCCCGGGGGCTTGATACCCATAATCTGAAGGATCATGGGGAAGTTCTCTCGTCAAACCGAAAAAAATAAAAAAAGTAAAAGGAATATTTAAATTCTTTTTCTTAAGGTTCGGAGTGGGTTAAAATTAAGGATCCATTACAACATAGAAGGTAAAATAGCAAGTACAATGATTTGAAATGGCTATAATTTGGAGCATATATAATTTAAAAATTAAAATTAAATTATAACATTATTTTCAGTCAATTAACAGAGCAATTTTTTCCAAATAAACTGGCATCATTTTGCTGATATACAGAAAAAACCGTTCCAACCTACTTCTAAAATGTGAAAACATTACCGTAACAAATGCAAGGAGGTCACTGTAAAATGTGTCAGTCACTTGTGTTTATTGTACTTAACTTATCTCCATGTTTTTAATATTTTCCCCTGTAGTATAGCCCCCCCCCCCCCCCCCCACCCCCTCCCTCCCCCCCCGCCCCCAAATCTACTTGTTGTCATGCAAGATGTTTTCATTAAATACGTGTTATATATAATCGGCCATATTTTCTTGTATTTCAATATTACAAAGTTTTTTCTTGTTAAATGATCTTAATACATATTTTTTTCTCATCTCTACAATATCCTTCATTTGTACATTAGTGAAAGCGATATAAAACTATACAACTTGAGATGGATATGAGCATAAAGATTAATCAAGTGCAAGGAAACCGAACCTTCTCAATTTTAGTTCAACATGAACTAAAGAAATCATTTGTTAAGATATTCCACTAACATCCCAACCATTAATTAAAAATTTGTTTCCCACGCGTACCGTGTTAATTGGTCTTCTCGTTTGACTTGTTAGCTAAAACTAGGATAAGTTTTGTTTTTCAAATTTTAAAAATTTAAGACTATTAACCCCCTCGTGCACTAGTATAAAAGGGAACACGAGGCTCCCAAAGACTAACAAAAGCATTTGAGGGGCCTAAGAGTTAATTAATGGAGATAATTGAGGAAGGAGTTGAAGCTTTTATTCCTATCCACAGCCAAGTGAAGAGAATCAAGCAAGAGGATGAGAAGATTATAGTGGAGAAGTTCAAGATTCATATGTTTGAGAGGAGAGCTAGCTTTAGGGGCCGAATAACGGTATGTTGGGTCTCGCCGGCCAAGCTATTTCACTCTAATGTGGGGGGATTGAGGTCTCTCTATAGTAGTAGTAAAAGTTTTTTTTTTTTTTTTTCGTTGGCAAATATAAGCTAGCTTGCCTACTTGGTTATCTTCACTTGTTTTTTGATGGCTAGCAGCCTTCTGCTGTCACTAATGTGAGTTGTGAATAAGATCAGCGCTTTTTTCTCACATGGATTTTTATCTGGTGTTCATGCCCTTGAAAATTTACCGTTTACTCTTATCTTTTGATGTGCACGTCGCCAGAACCACCAAAAGTTCGTGACCCCCCAATGTTTTTCAACGCAAACCCCCTAATTTTCAACTTTATTTTAGAAAGATCCCAAAATTTTCGATGTTATTTTTAGAAACCCGAAACTTTGAACCTTATTATCGGAAAGCCCACATGAATTTTTGATAAAGTTTCAAAAGACAGGCTCCCAGTTACACTGTTAGCAGGGTATGTTGAAAAAAAAATTGTAAAACATTTAGGGGTTTTAACCCAAAAAAACTAGTGTCAACCACACTCATAGCAGGGATTTGGATCTTCTCGGCCATCAAAAAATAAAAACTGAAAAAAAGAACGTATCACTTTTAGTCATAATCATCTCCTATTATAATCTCAGTAGTTCATTGTTTCATGGTTGATTGTGACTCATTTTAAGGTCTAGTATGTATTGTTTTTGTGATTCAGATAAATTAATCATAATCAATCCATCCAAAGAGATACACGATTATTATTTAGAGATGCTAAGTATTTCAAGAGGATCAAGATCCTTCTAACAAAGCTTGCAAACAGTAACAAATAAAGTTTATTATAAAACAAATAAGGTTTTCGAGATCTATCCTCCTCATATCTCACTTTCAAGCACAGCATAACAAACAGATCCCCCAAAAAAGAAAAAAAAAATCTTGTCCACTAAATGAGCACCACACTGGTGGCATACTCCAGAATCAACAAAAGGCCAACACGTGTCACTTCGTTACCTCGATAAAAAGCTGACACGTGTTCGAGGTAAGAAAGTGACACGTGTTAGGATGTCGTTCTAACAGCACGTCCTTCTCATTGAGCAGGCAAGAATTTTTCAATCAAAAGACATTCGTGCTTAAAACTAATTTTCACCATACAATTGAATTCATACTACAGATGAAAGAAATAATTTACTCAACATCGGCATATTCATATCCCAGTGACCATAAATAACGAAAGAAAGATTACACATCCAATGTAATTAAAAAAAAATTAGCTCTAGGCAGCAGATTTCTCCTTGGATAACGTCCTGATCCTCTGAGTAAGCTTCCTCATGACGTCAATAATCATCAGCTTCTTCTGCATTCTAAATTGAACAGCCAACTTGGTCGAGCCAGATGCATCTCCTTTCAAAATCGACTCATCCTGCATTATTTTTGTGGGGAAGTATTCGAGAGAAACGACACAAAGTGCAACGACGGTTCGAAGCGCAGCAGTTTCAGTGGGGACTCCAAGAGGTGCTTCAGCTGATAGAGACTTCAAAGCATCTATATCTGAATTTAGAACTGTGTCTTCGTCGTTACAGAGGAGGAGTCTCAATGCAGCCAATAAGCGGCCGTCCACCAAATCAGAACCTCCCAAAGTTACCTGGCAAGAGACAAAAGAGAAGTCAGATTATAAACTGTTTGCATGTTTCTCACGGCAACAATATTGTATAAGGAATGAAGTTTTATGTTCGGTCGTTAGCCTGATAAGTTTAATATGATTACATTATTGAGAAATATCTACAATGCAAAAAGATTCTTCTGATGTAATATAGCAATCAGATCTTCTTACAACAAGCAATACAAATTCGAATTTTACAATTTATTGATGTAACAGTTAACTAATTTGATCGAATAAAAAAATATATAATGAAGTTGAGAGTTAGCATTCCTGCGCTTACCCATTATTGGCCTCTCCAGAAAAAGGAAGAGGGAAAAAAAATCCATGAATGAACAAATGGACTATTATGAGGCTTCATTAAGCATCCTAAAACTTTGGGATTTTCAGCGACTCAAAGCCGGAATTGATAATAACGTGGGTAATTTCATAGATTTTAACTGAGAAGACCATTATTATCAGTTTATAACGTTCAGTCTACAAAAGAGGAATTCAACATTCATTCATTTGCTGATAATCATATCCTAAATACTAGATATCTGAAGGGTTAATCAATTCGCCCCACAAATACGCAACAGAAATCCAATAAAACTGAGTAAAACTCTTACAAGCCCAATAAAAGAAAACTGTACCGCAAGGGATCTGTACTCTTTTGTCCTGTTTGAATAGCTACGGCCTGGTGCAATTGGGGTTGAATTATGAAAATGACTGCTTAAGGTTGAATATTAAAGGCTGACTTTTTGTTAATGAGTTAACTGAGGATAAGACCGGCGTGAGCTGTAGGCCCCCCCCCCCAATAAAAAAAAAGAAAAGAAAAAAAGAACTGTTGTTCTGTTCTATTGGCCTGAGTATTTTTTTAAAACTCTTTTTTAAGAGTCGAAAGAATTTACTCAGGGGTCTATTAACACTTGGGCAATAGTAAGAGTTTCTAAATACCAATAGAACTACAAGGGTCTATCCGCAATCGGCGACTTTGCAGAGGTTTATCTGCAACTAACCCTTAATTAGTCAACACACTACACCAATGCAGAATGTTTGGGAAAGATGGCCGGGGTACAGAAGACACTATGGACTCTGGTTAGAATGGTTTGAAATTGTTGGCACGTGCAAACAGTGAGCAAGTATGTTGAATGGACATGGATGGAAGAAAATCATACAGAGGGCTAGATATAGAAAATTATAGAGGGAGGAAGGAGACAGTGACAAGTTTCACATTGCCAATTCTAGATCAGTGCAGTTAGTATACAGTACCAGGGAAATCACTATCAGTGCAAACATAATATTGTATCAGTGCAATCATCAAATGCAGAAACAAACTTTCCACCATATGCTGGTCTATAGAACATGGCATACGACTTGATTGTCTGTGCAATAAGAACACGAGAAAGCAACTTCAAGCATTTCTTTTCCACCATATATTAACCACAGTGGAAAAGGAAAAACAGTACACAACAATTAAAGAGAAAGGAACCACATGATTAAGTGGAATGGTTCTGATAAATAATAAGATTAATATGCAAGTGTGGTGAGTTAATCAAGGAAACCTTAAGAACAGCGCCATCTCCAATTAAATTCAGCTGAGATAGAATTTCCTGCTGCCATTTTTCTGGAGATGAGATGCTGGGAGAAGAAACCCCGGCTGCCATACTAGCAGCATCCAGAAGAGCTCCATCATACCTCAATTCGACATGGTCAAATGGGTTTTCAGGAATCACAAACCCATAATCCAAAAGGAAAAGATCATTGCTTAAACAGCCATAATTCAGCGTTATTGGAGTATCTTGCTCAATTTGTTTTTCTGCTACAACCTGTACAGAAAGTAAAAACTCTTGAAATCGAGGAATAAAATGGTGTCAATTTCTTTGAGTTCTACATAATTAAGTAGGGTGCAGGCAATCCAGATGATATAACAGAATCATATGTGACTTTTGAGAAATGTAACAGGAACAATTGACTTTTTTTAGAGGCTTAGAACAAATATCCAAACTAAATCACCAATACACGCCACTAAATCATCTAATCACCTATACACCCTGTCAATTTTAAGAACACTCTCACACGGTAGTCTTGCTTCATTCATCTTCGTGAAGCATGGATACTCAAACAAAGAACACAAACCACTATAAATTACTAAATTCAAGTATTTGGATGTATCAAATAGTATAGATAGTTGTTGTTTTTGTTCACTAATATAATTTCAAAGACAAAGATGAAAAAAATGGTGGCAGGAAGTAGGAATTTATGATTCATCATTATACGAGAAGCATATTTTTATATTTGAACTTTGTTAGTGTTTCATAGGTATTATTTATTAGGATCTTGCTATGAGTAAAGGCACAGCGCACAGTGGTACACAAAGCATTTAATACTTTTTGAGATCCTCTTGTTTGCTCTATATACTTCTAATATACATGATTTAGAATGATCATATCTAAGTCATTTGCGTTAAAAATTTTCATTGACGATGAAGAAAATCAATCAGAAAAAAGTCATTTGCATTAAAAAGCAACATATAACTGATGATACAAGCGAAAGAATAATGAAACCTGAAAACTGTTAAATTTAGATTGATTCTTACACACAAAGGTGCATAGATTTCAAAGAACTAAGGCAGTGTATGGCAAACCCACTAAACAAGGCCAAGTGGAGATAACATTGGTCCAAAGTCTTAATCCTAGTTTGGCAAAGTTTGGGCCAAGACGAGAACAAGTTTTGCTAGGCCAAATTTTCGCCTTAAACTAGTTCTGTTTTGATCAATCCCCAACCCTGGTTTACTCTTGAACTAGTTTAGAAAAGGACTAGTTTATCTTCCATTTGCCAAACTGAGCCTAATAATAAGCATCAGACATCATATACAATCAAATGAAATTAACTTGATACTGGATATAGAATTGAAGTGAAAGAGAGGAATACTTAGCAAGCTGCAACAGGACATCCACGCACAGTTCTCAAACCTGACAATGCTGAAGAACTTACCCTCACTAACATCTTTGAGCTGCCAGTATCTATTTCCTGTACAATACGAGCATTTGGATCAAAGCTGTGATTGCACATGTCAATTAGTGGAAGCATCATAGGGACATCACTGTCGTCACCATGCAAACGGAAGGCTCGAGAAGAGACTGCTGACATGGCCCAGCCAAGGGAAGATGCATCAACATCTTTCCCTTCAAAAGGATGATCTTTTGATGCTATACCCTCAAGCAAACTCTTGATTTCTTTCTCAAACTCTAGAAGGAAGCGGCATCTTTTATTTACCTGATAAAATTTACAACTGCTATATATCAAAGGCTTGTTTTCACTTTGATACCCCAAAGTTTACCCATTTTTACCACTTTGATAACCCAAGGTATTTTTTTTAACACTTTGATAACCCCAAAATTTCAATTTCATTCAACATTAATACCCAACACAGATCTCATCAGATTTCTGGTAAATTTGTATTACATTTATGTCCATTTTACCCAGTTGCTACGGATCCAAAAAACCAAATGTTTCCAGTAGCAATGGATGGAAGTATCATTTGCTAAGCACATGATATAAATTTAACAGAAATTTAACCAGATCTGGATGGGATATCAAAGTCAAATGAGCTTGAAACTTTGGGGCACCAAAGCTTTAAAAATACTTTGGGGTATCAAAGTGAAAAATGGGTAAACTTTAGGGTACCAAAGTGAAAACAAGCCTATATGATTATATCAAATTCCATACTCTTAGACTTCAACTCTGGACGAAAAAAAGGAGATAGGTGATTTAGGGGAGGTGGAGAACCTGATGGATCAGAGGAGCATACTGAAGGTTCTTTATATCCTCCCCAGAAAAGAATATTGGTACGCTGAATGTCTCTGGCAGATTGCTAATATAGGACCACCAAGATGAACCAACTTTTGATCTTTCATGAAGCAGCCGCAATCCCAATCTCATAGCCCAGAGTTCCACTGTCACATGCTCCCACAGATGTCCATTTTACTTCCTTACTAAATATTTTAGAATAGCCTAATTTGCACAATAGAAAGTTATAGCCTATACTTAGAGCAATTATTTTCTTTTAACATAAGCCCAACATATCAAACATAGCATGCTTTATTGAAGAAAAAACAAATGTAATTGCCCTAATAATATTTAAATTTTAAACAAGCCAGATCAAAGTCCTCCAGAAATAAGTTCGCTTCTAACAGCCTCATTTTTTATAAGAGAAACTTCTTTATGCAACAGCCATGGAGGTATAGATCATGGAAGTTTATTCTTTCTAAGACATCACAACATACATCAGGCTTACGCATCTTAGGTTAATAATGGTGTTAACTCTTAGTAAAGTGACAATTGTGGGTTTATATAGATTCCGATCCCCACCCTAAAGTGTTACCTATCATTACAACAAAATAGAATCAAACCTTGTGCTGCTACAATTTCTTCATACAACCCACACTTATATACACCCATACTAATATCCAATCAACACTATCAGAAACAAAAGCCACGAGGAATCTAGCTGTCATGAGAACTCCATCAGCATCAGCATGAGAATCCAACACAATTTGTTGTAGAATTACAATTAGGATTCCCTCCTTACACAACTAACCTTTTGCGATGAGTTTGAGTTCTCGTACGATATAAAAACTAGTGTTCTTTCATACTCAACAACTAGTTCATCGTGTTCCCATTACAAGATTCAGTCTTATACTTAGCGCCCTTGGCCAAGAATTCGACTCAATAAACTTTGGTAAATCTTAACCTGAGCCTTCGCTCGTAAGCGACTCTGGAGAACTCATCCCTAAGATCTAGTTGTTAAAAAGAGGGAACCTAAATCCCTTATGACCGCACAACGGCTCCCTATTTAGTCAATGTGAAGGCTAAATGGCTCCTAACATCACCATGCAAAAGGTCAAACAGGGTTGTAATCAACAAAAGTGGATTATAATCCACTTTTAGAATTTGGCAAGTGGATTCTTTCGGATTATAATCCATGAGGTTTGACCAAATAAAAGACAATTATACCCCTCATAGTTTCACATACTCCATGGCCTCCCTCAATAACTCACCACCAACCCCATGTCCTTTCAGGTCACTTCGACAAAAATGAGAGACTATAATCCACCTGTTTGCTAAACACTCTACTATTGCAAACGGATTATAGCCCACCAAATTTACCAAACACTCTGGGCTAAAATCCACTTGACTCGCGGTCTAAGCTACAGATTATAGGGGGCTGTTTGGTTTAGGGGCTGTTTGGTTGTATGTTTTTACCATGTAAAAGAATGAAAAGTGTAAAAAAGTGGGTCCCAATGTCAGCTTTCATCACTTTCAATTGTTTGTTTGTAGTTGTGAAAATAGTGTAAAGTGATTTCATATGCTGATGTTGCTTGTAAAGTGATTTCATAAAAAAAAGACATGATTTTAGAAGAAAGCTGACATTGAAGTCAGGAAAAAATAATAAAAAATAATTCCAACCAATATGATCATTTGAGTAGGGACCACTTTTTACACTTTCCAAACAAACAATTAAAGCTACATTTGCAAACCAAACAAGCAATTTATGATTCCAATGGAATAAAAAAACAAACAAAGAAAAGTATAAAAGTAAAATTGATGAGGTGGACAACAACTTTTCAAGTTGTGTCATAAATACACAACTTTACCAACAACAACCAAACAACCCCTTAATGTTTTTACCATGTAAAAGGATGGAAAGTGTAAAAAAGTGGGTCCCAATGTCAGCTTTCATCACTTTCAATTGTTTGTTTGTAGTTATGAAAATAGTGTAAAGTGATTTCATATGCTGATGTGGCTTGTAAAGTGATTTCATAAAAAAAAGACATGATTTTAGGAGAAAGCTGACATTGAAGTCAATAAAAAAATAATAAAACATAATTCCAACCAATAGGATCATTTGAGTAGGGATCACTTTTTACACTTTTCAAATAAACAATTAAAGTTACATTTACAAACCAAACAATCAATTTATGATTCCAATGGAATCAAAAAAAAATATATATATAAAAGTAAAATTAATAAGGTGGACAACAACTTTCCAAGTTGTGTCATAAATACACAACTTTACCAACAACAACCAAACAGCCCCAAGGTAAACCAAGTTTATTGATAAAGAATTACATGATGATGGTAGAAATAATCATACTCGAGGTATATAAATAGCTTAAAATCAAGGAGAAAAACGAAAGATTCGAGGCCTGAGAGTTCATTACCTGGGACCCGAGCGGCGAGGCGACCCAAAGCGGATTCGGGTTCATCCTGCGGATCGAAGCGAAGAGGGAGGTGATCGGGCAGCGCAATGAGATCCGACCCGTCAGCGATGGGTTCGGTTGAGAGCAGGCCGAGTCCGTGAGAGGTGTGGTCGGCGATTTTGAGGCTCGGGTGGACGATGGGTTCGGTTGAGAGCAGGCCGAGTCCGTGAGAGGTGTGGTCGGCGATTTTGAGGCTCGGGTGGACGAACCCGCCCTCTCTCCTGACCCATCGCATGAGGTCGGGTGGCTGAGGCACGAGGCGGGCGGCCGAGCACGTGAGGGGGCGGCGGTGGGTGAGGCTGGCTGCTGTCGCTGTTAGCATTTTGGTAGCGGCGTTGGTCGCCATTTTTGGGGAGGAGAGTGGAGAGAGGGGTTGATGATAAGTAACTCGTAATGGGCTCTTTATTTTTCTTGGGCCTCATACATCTGCTGTCGCTGCTAGCATTTTGGTAGCGGCGTTGGTCGCCATTTTTGGGGAGTAGAGTGGAGAGAGGGGTTGATGATAAGTAACTCGCAATGGGCTCTCTACTTTTCTTGGGCCTCATACATAGTGGTTTTATTGGATTCGGCCTGCTCTGAGTCCAATAAAAAAAAAAGAATCAAAAGATTTCTGTGCTTATTGGTTGATTAATGAAACACATAAATTCAGATCGTGAATTTGGATTAAAACTGATCTCAATAAATTTGTTTTAGAGTGTCTCTAAACGGCCTCCTAGTCTATTTGACAGCTCACTAGAATTGCCAGCTAATCAATCCCGATCTAGTTTTTATGTGTATTTCACGGTTGGAAAAAGCAGATCTAATTCTATATAGTTTTTTATATGCTTTTTCGGCCCTAAAAGTAAGCCGGGATGGGTCCTCACCACCAGCCATGGTTAAAGGGAAAAAAAAGATAAGACCGGTCTCGCTCTTATTGGATTGTCAAGTAGAGCCTTAGTTCGACGATTTCACGATTTGAACCTCATCTTTATTTAAACCTCTCATGATCTTGGTCAATAATCATATGAGAGCCAATCCAGAGAAGAGTTAGTGGCCTGGAAAAAACTACCGGAAAGAAAGAAAAGGCAGCCAAATTTGAATCTATATAATTCAAACTTGAATTAAAAAAACCACTATTAATTAGTTCCGAACAAAATTTAATCTAACATAGTCAAACTAAGTTTAACTTAGATCTAGTCACTGAAAACCAATTTATGCTCATCCAGATCAAATTTAACTAAACCAGCAGTAATGTGGTTTAGGGCTAAACCACATAAAATCAAGCATTGACGAGATTTGGAGTTGCGGTTTTACCTTGGGGGGTCAATGAAAAGTCTCTTGCTTGCCGTCGCACCTTATTCCTCAGCCAGCCAGGTGGACTGCATCTCCGTCAAATCCATAGCATCTGCCTCTCAAAGTATCGTGGCAGGTTAGCGAAATTCGTTCAAAGCTAGATAATGCCTACCCGCCAAAGCCTCTCCAAACTTTTCCCGCATTCTCACTCCAAAGCCGCAGATCCCGGATGCGGAGCTCACCGCCGCCGCGATTCAGCAGCTCTCCCTGCGCAAAATCGGCGCGGATGCCTAGACGAATGCGCCTCTCCAGATCGCTATCCACGGTCGAAGATGCAAGAGCTCTCCTCCTTCCGGTTCCTCAAGCCTCACGCTCTCATGCCTCTGCTCCTCTTCTTCTCGCCTTCGTCAAAGCCCTAACCCTCTCTTCGAGCTTCGCGAGGCCGAACCGGTTTGCCGGAGACGAGTGGTTGCGATTTGTTTTTCGGCATTTCGCGGCGAGGCGCGACGAGAAGGATGCTAGGGTTTTCTGATGAGTTCCTGGAGGAGATTTATAGGGTTTTTGTTGATGGCGGCGAGGGCGGGGCAAAAGGAGCGGCGTAGGTTTAGGGCTTTGCACAGATGTATCGGAGGTAATTGTTAAGTTTCTGGTCGGTATTTGAATTTAGGGTTTTTTATTATCTTTTGGCAAATTGAGACTTCCAAGTTGGTCTTTTGAACGAGTTTTCAAGTTGGTAGGAAGTGATTTTGAGCACGTAAGCAATTAAGAAGAAGGAAATTTTGTTCTCCAAAATACTTTGAAAGAACTCTGCTCTAGCTAACGGTTAAGGGGTTTTGATTTTGTTTAATTGCACTCTTAGAATCAGTTTAATTTGATGAGTTGTATTGTATATTAACCAGTTTCACGTAATCATCATTTAGAAGAAAGTTTGAAGATTTTTTATGGCCATGTTTTTGGCTAACTAGAGGCGCTTTCAAACATGGGTCTTTTTGGTGAGCTTTCCTTTGAAGGGTGTTTGAGCACTGAAATAATTGAAAGAAGATTTGAGCGAGAAATTTCGAAGAAGCTTCTCTGAACTTTCAATCAGGATTTTTGTCCTTTTTTTTAAAAAAAAAATTGCCTCTTAATAAGTGGAATATGGGTCTTTGTGTGTTAACCAGTTCATTTTCAGCATGTAAAGAAAGTTATTTAGAAGCACAGTTACTTTAGTGACTTTAGTCATTTCTCTCATTCTTTATATGGAACATAATGCCATGTACAGTTTTGAGAGCTTGTAAGGTTCTTAATTGGGCTGTGCCGTATACAGAAGTCTGCTAGGTTAGGCTGGTCCGAATTGTTTTGATGTGATGGAATTTACCACCAAATATGTGTGCACATTTCTGCTTTAATTCTACTTAAGTTTCAATAACTTTTGGTCTACAGCGGCGAGTTTGTACGGAGCTGCATCGGATGTGAATATTTGATCGCTTGTATACAGGCGGAATGTGTATTTAACATATTATATACTCAGAGCTGAAACCACGCATGTCCTTTTTTTTTTTCGGGGGTGGGGGTGGGGTGATCTATGTAGGAATGTATGATGCAATTTGGTAGAATTGTGAACAATGCTAAATATAAAATCGGTTTTTATGAGTTTAAGGAAGGGTACTTGTCGCCAGTAGATCCGCCCGTATCTCCATCTCTAACTGTATATATTCAGAGTAAGAAACTATTGAAGACAATGGAAACTTCATCTTCAAATTGCAAATTTGCACCTGCTAAATTTGTTTAGCTTTAAGTTGTAGACCTTAGAAAGAATGGTGGGCACCGTGTGAGGTTAAGATGCACGCAGCCGAAGTTTCTTTCACAAGATGTTCCCGTGGAATCATGGGGGCCCTTAACAACATGTTTATTGGTAGTTATCAGACAAATTTGAAAGCAATAGAAGTGAAAAAAAGCAATGTGATACATGGTTGTTTTCCTTTATTTCTAACCTCTTTTACATTGGGTTATACCATTTATGTTATTGCAAATCAACACATCAAATGGTCGCAGCTTATTGGGTTTTAAGTATTCCTTGCTTGTTTAGAAGGGTGGCGAGTGAAGAAATTTGCATAAAATTCATTATGCGTGTATCTGTTACTTAAGTTACATGGCCACTTCCGATGCGTATATGCAATTTATTTCTTTTGATTGATATAAATAGTGCCTCTTGTGTAAGCAGGGCACTAGCATTTGCTTTCACAAAGAACTATGAAAACACGTTATAGATAATGATTATTTTTTGAAGCTGAAATTTCTTATTTGTCTAGAAGCTGGTCTTTTTGTTAAATCTACCCTTATCATGTTTTCACAGAGGTGCGCACGCTGAACATGCTAGAGTTAAGAAGTTTAACTGTTTCCTGCTTGTTTAATATGATTTCTTTAAATTTCATTATACCAGCTATTAACATGAATTTAAGGTCATTTTTGTCCATCAAGTATTCAATTGTGTGGCATCACTGCTTTTTCGAATTGTGATTTTTCTGTAAGACGCGTAAACTATTTTGTTAAAATTATTAACAGAGTTGATTTGAAATTATATTCTGTGTGCAATCAATACGTTTCTTGAAATCATGAAACAAGTGATTATATGATTGTTCTCCTGCATTGAGTGTTCCTATGCGATGATGCCAGGTTTAGGTTCTGTTACTGAAATGTTTCTGCTTTATTTGGTGTTTTTGTTTATTTGACATGTATGCAAAGATTGATTACTTTGTCAAGTTATGTATACTAGTTGAAACTGTCTATACATATTTGTTTATTTCGTCATAGTGTTCATCTATCATTGATTGAAACCTGTCTGTAGTAGTTATGTTACTATTTTTCAGCATAATGCTTCTTATTATCTCATGAAGTTGTAAGACAGCAAGTCATAATCCAAGTATTTTTTTGCTTCATGTTCTTAAATGTAAGCTACGAGATGAATATTTTTGTATAATTGAACGCATTATTTATTGCACGCATATATAGAGAATGTTCGGAACATCATCTTAATGGAAATTTGAAATATTTCGCTTTTTAGTTCATTTTGATAGTTTATTGCTGAATAATATGTCAGTTTTTTCTTGCACCGATATATGCGGTTGCAGAATGATGCGGAGGGTAAGTCAATGAGGTTATGGGATGAAGTTATAGACAACATGAAGCAGAGAGTGGAGGATAAAGTCCCTCGCAATACGTGGTTTTGCATGGCTGCCCTATCTTCGGCTTGCAAATGACGTGGAGAACAGTGATATTATCAGTCCTGTTTCTCGCAGGTTTTTGCCTGAAGAGTAAAATGCTGGTAGGTTCTTTTTCATATTTTTCATCAGCCAATTTTGCAAGGAGTCTTCATTTCCTAAATTAAGTTAATGTCGAAATATGTGTAGGAGGTGCGGAAAAGACTATAGTTTTATCACTTGCCCACCATCCAATGATACGGCACAGCAATAGTTTCATTCATATGGCTTGACGTGAGTGATGGCTGTTCGTAGAGGGCTGCATATTGCGTCCTGGCTAGTAAATTCCACTTCAAGAGTTCTCAGCGTCACCCATTCATGCTTACCTTGTTGCCTAAAAGTTTTATGAAGCTAATTTGTTTTCTTAATTTATTTTAAAATTTCTGGCAATCCAGTGATTAAGGCTTAGAACCACTTGCTTCTTCACGAGGGGGTGTCAGATAGGCGTTCCGTGGCAGTGCTCAAGGAGTGTGTTGAGGATGGCCCTAAAAGGAATGAATGGCCCTTATGAAGGTGTCGTGCGGACGTGGTTGGGACGATCCATCGCCCTCCTCCTTAGGTTTCTGGCCATGTAGCAAACATGATGAAATAAGCTTGCGAGAAAACAATAAATGGAAATCATCTTAAAAAGATTGCCGTAGCGAGAGTGCAAGAAGGTCAAAGCCATCAGACAATTTTTTGGCCATCACGTTGACAAAGGTGAAGTAAATATTTTTAAATTTATAATGCTTTTCTCTGCGTTCTGTAGTGGCTCTTTACTGAATTATGATATTGTTTTCTCAGTTGAAAACCAAGTACCAGCAAGCAGCCGATGTACACGCCACTATGCACCAGATGTACAGTTATTAAGCTTTTGATACATTTGCATACACGCTCCCCATGTGTTTTATTGACAATATGCCATTACTGTCGAACAACAAAAAGTAGGAGCGTTTAAGCTTTTGGGGACAATACACTTGGTTACCGTTTTCCAATTTTGCCGGATGGTTCACTTCTGCTCGGGCCTGAGTATAACAAACTGAATCCAGCAAGTCAGGCTCAGATATGATGTCTTTTTTATGCAATTTCAATAGTTAGTGCTTAGTGGCGTGCTGACTCAGTTTTTTGTGCTAGTTTCAGTTAGTAGAATACACATTATAAGTACGCAATAAACCCACCGGACTGCCTCACTTGAAATTATCAGCGGCCAACTTCTCCATGTTACTTTGCATGCCAAATGCAACTTACCCCCAAAGTTTCTATCTTCGGTATATCTGTACGGAAATTTTTAGTAAAGCTTAAAACTGCCAAAATTTCTAATCAGGTTTAGTTTTATACAAATCAAAATTGCTGCAATGAAAACTTCTGAATTTAGCCTCAGTGAGAATTCTCAAATTTATGACAGAGATGCGGCTTTTGGAATTATTTTCTTATTGTTGTATCTATGTATTGCTTTACATGTGCGCGAAAGTAGACGACCTTGTTATGAGCTGTGGCTATGCTTATCAATGAGAAGCTTACCTTGCGTCGGCCTTGTAACCCTTCCTTAAAGCAAGAGCCTCTTGCACTAGTTTAAAGTCGCAATATTTTTTCTTTTTTGAGTTTATAGGACCGTCCCTATCTATGTATGGTTGACTCAAGTTTAGAGCACATTATAAGCTGACTCTTATCCTTGTAGTTGATTTGCCCAACATATAGATAGCGATGATAATGGGGCCGTGCAAGATCCAAGTTTAAAGACATAATGTTAAGGAACCCCTTATCTTTATAATTCCTTGCCCTACACTGTGTGTAGGGGCGTGGCCTACTGGACACAGTGCCAGGCACGGCCCATTAACCCATAGTTTGGTTCATCATTCGCTGCCCTATTGTGTTGTGCCATTATCACAGACTGCCAACATGACAGCGCGGAACAGATCCAGGCAACACTTCAATCTATCTAGCGTTCTTCGCTCGTCTCGCCGCTCATCAGCGGCAGATAATTAGGCTGTTTAATTTTTATATTTTTTGAATTTTTTTTTCTGTTATAAGCCTAAAGTTCTCCTGATTTGCGACATATTGCGACCATACACACTGAAATCAGTTCATGAGATAGGCTGCCCCCTTCAATAAAAATGACTATATCTTATTTTTTTCTTTTTATTGATTAATTGCAGTCGAGAACCATCTGACATCAGTTATGGAAGCAGCAGGATTGCCCCTATATTGCGAAGACCCTATCAAGCATTTGCCAAAACTGCTAGCTCAAGTAAGCATGACAATTTACCACTTCAGAATCCATTATGACTATTGAATACCCATCACACTATGCGCCAGATTGATATTTGCTTTATATATAACAGACCATGCAGTTCTTTTTTGTTATTTTTGGTCTGTACTTGCGTTTGCGCATATTCAGTAATTCTTTTGTTTCTTCTAAATTTATATTTTTCGCGTAGTCCAATCAATTTTATTTATCTTCACATACTACATAGCCACTATGATTGGCCAAAGCCTTACATCTTCATCCGCTCATCTTAAGAAGAGTTCGGCGGCCAAGGCCACAATGACTGCAAGCTTTTGGCGGGTTTCCCACCATTCTCTACTCTAACAAGATCTATTTCCAATCTGCTAATCGCCGTTCACGTGACTGCACTCTTTTCATTGCCCTTGTTGTTTTTGTTGCTTTATTTGAGTGACTAATTAGTTCGCTGATTAGAGTTCATGTTTACATCGATTTCTGATGCCATGGATATTTGATATGGGTGCACGCCATATCTTATATTTTCAGAAACTCTACAGTTAATGAAGGACTATTGTTGCGCTTTCCTTCATAATTTTAATTATCCGCGCCCTAGCCGTCTTGTGAATTTGCCTAACACACGCATTCATGACTTTCAATTACATCATTCCTAAAGATGCCCTGGTCTGCAAACAAAATTATTAGGTACCTTCATCTTTGTTAGGGCCAACCTGCTTAAGGCGAAAACATATCATAATAGAAGTCAGCTGATAGCCCCTTACAATACTCTCAATACCAATCTTAATTGTGCGTTAATGGCTTAGCGAGGTAATAAGTAAACTTCTTTACCATGTAGTTTTGTTGTTTTTATGAGGAAGTAGCTGCAAGAATGCTTGGACGCAGCATGGAGTTCATGATTTGACAATCTGATATTTGGTTAACTGTGGCTGGATTAAAGGCAAATGCTGTCTGTGCTTAATAATTTGGTCAGTTACTTGCTTTCATTTGGGTGATTAATCAGTTTGTGAATTATGAGTTTCATATTTACATTGATTTCTGATGCATGGATATTTTGATATGGCACGTCATATTATAATGTTTCAGAAACTACTAAGTTATGTAGGACTATTGTTGCCTTTCATTCATATTGTAGAATGGTACCGTCTTGTGAATTTGCCTACAGGACGAGCATGCTTTCAATTTCATTCCTATATATGCTGGTTGAACACAGAATTATTTAGGTACCCTTTATTTTGTTAGGCAACTGCTTAAGGCGAAAACATTAAAGAAGTCAGCTGATAGCCATACAATGCTTCCTCAATACATATCTTAATGTGCTGTTAATGGGCTACCAGGTAGTAAACTTCTTTTACCATGTAGCTTTTGTTGGTTGTTAAGTAAGCTGAATGTTTGGACCGGATGGAGTTCATGATTTGACAATCTGATATTTGGTTAACTGTGGCTGGATTAAAGGCAAATGCTGTCTGTGCTTAAGAATTTGGTCAGTTACCAAGACGGTACATTTTGTTTGATGTGGCGGTAGCTGCATTTAAGAAGTATTCATTAATAACCAAGTAGCAAAAACAAACACGCGCGCGCACAAGTGATGTCTTGCTGCAAGACGCAAGCACAATTGAATATTTAAAATTCCCTTCTTTCTCAAGTGTGGTCTAAATGGAAATCTGTGAAATGGTGACTGATTCAATGGTTGAAGCTTCTTCCCAAATTATTTGTGTCTTCTAACTAGAAGTTGTCACACACTCACACTTTGTGCGTGACTAACCATTACTTGTTTTCAGTGAACTTTTTGCACTGCCTGAGGCTCTCTCGAACCTATGTGCAGGCTAAAGGTTCTGACGCTGCAATTACTACAGGCACTGAGGCAGCAGTTTATGCATCTGAAGCTTCAGACAGTAATGACCTTCTTGATGAGGTCCTTCCCGTGACAGTTTCTGATTACGTTGATTTAGTCAAAGCACACCTCTCTGCAGGTTAGGCTAATTCTTTACTTGCCTACTATAGCTAAGGATTTTGAACGAACTAATTATTGCTCCTTATACTGTGATTTTTCAGGACCAAACTATCGGTTTGCATCCCGACAGCTATTATTACTCGGTGCTATGCTTGATTTCTCGGATACTACAAATAGGAAAGTTGCAAGTTCTTTTCTCCATGAACTTTTGATCCGGCCTCTTGACTATGAACTCGACGATGATGAGAATAAGATTATAATAGGGGATGGAATCAGTCTTGGGGGAGATAAAGACTGGCAAAGAGCGGTATCAGAATTGGCTAGGAAAGTGCATGCTTCTGTAGGAGAGTTTGAAACTGTAGTTACTAGCGTCATCGAGGAGCTTGCTTGTCCATGCCGAGAAAGAACTGCAGATGTCATTCAGTGGATGCATTGCCTCTCAGTAACTGGTCTACTTTTAGAAAACATTGAATCCTTACGAAGTTTACATGGGAAAGCCATAGAACCTTCTGAAATTCTACATTCGTTGTTGCTTCCAGGGGTTAGTGTTTATACACTCTATTCTATTTGGTCTCTCCAATTCGTCTGAGTTTTTACTATTCTATATCAGCTCTTGTCTTCCTATATATTTCTTAGCACTGCATTCAATTTTGTCCATTATATGGTTGCAGGCAAAACAGGTCCATGCTGATGTGCAAAGAGTTGCTACTAGGTGCCTATGTCTCTTTGGGCTACGAGAAAAGAAACCATGTGAAGATGTAGTTAAGCAGCTGAGATTGTCCTTTATTAATGGTGCTATTCCAGTCAGTCCAATGGCCTGTAAGGCACTAATTGATCTTGTTACGTGGCATGGCCCTGAGGAAGTTGACAAAGCTATTGGGCTGGATCTACAGAACTCCAGTGGTGATGAAAAAAACAGATTTGTTCCCGTGAACTTAACAGATTCAAAGGATGATCTTAGTATTGGAGTTCTTGATCTCTTATATTCTGGATTTGATAGAGAGGATTGTGATGCAACCATTGAGGCTGATGATCAAGAAAGTATTCGTTCTATTCTTGGAGAGGGCTTTGCAAAGTTTCTTCTTCTGAGTGATAACTATCCAACCATATCTTCATGCTTGCATCCTTTGATCTTATGCAAGCTTGTTACTCTGTATTTCAGTGATGAAGCTAATGGTTTACAAAGGTAACAACTGCCTCCGCTTTTATGCACATTTCTGTAGATTTTACTCTGGATGTTTCCAGTATTTTATTCAGGTTTTTAATAATTTTATCTTGATCACAGGTTAAAACAATGTTTGTCTGTGTTCTTCGAACATTATCCTGCGCTATCTCACAATCACAAGGCAAGTTAATGCATGTAAAACATCATATGCTATTTGAATCCAGGATCAATCATTCTGATGATGCTTCAATCCCCTTTGGTGTAAATATTGATGGTGAATTGTGTTCTCTGTGCAGAAATGTGTCTCCAGAGCTTTTATTCCTGTTATGAAATCTATGTGGCCGGGTATCTGTTGTAACCCAGGAGGTGCTTCTGTTGTAGTGTCTAGACTGAGGAAGCGTGCATTCCAGGCATCGCGTTTTATGTTGCAAATGATGCAAATACCACTCTTCTCAAATGAAATTGAGGAACAGCAGTCTAGCGAGAATAGAACTGAAAGTCCTCCCACTTCCGAGGAACGATCACTTGATTTTGAGAGTGGGGAAGAGGGTCTTGCCATTCAAATTGCTGCTGAGGTGGTTTTTCTCATCTATTGCTGTCCAAATGGCATCTTACTATGATCCTCTTAAGGATATGGAGTTGTTATCTTAATTATATTTTTTGATGTGAATGCTAGGTGGTGAGCTTTCCTGAGAAGAAGACCCCAGCTGAGAAGTCTTATATACTGACACTGTGTAGAGTAGCCGCACTGGTTCAGTTTCGCCCATCTGAGCAAGAAGCAATTAAATGCATGAGGGGGCTTTTAAATGGCATGATTATAGCTGCCTCAAGTGATAAGGAGCTCGTAAAAGAACTAAATCGGATGGCAACACGTCTTAAATCACTTGATAAACATCCAGATGAAGAACTGTCACACGAAAAAGCTACTGCTATATTTGGTAAGAATCCCTTTTATGAAAGCCATTGACTTACTGTTATTGTTTAAACTCTTGCAATATCTGCCTTTTGAGTATAATTTTTTGTTTTCGCGTGAGTGGTGACATGTTGTATTCGAAGAATTGACTTGATCTCAGAGAAATAGCAGAGCGAGTAAAATCTCAAAAAACACCCCAATGCTTTGGAATGATTCCCATGAAACCACCCAATGGTTTGTTTTTCCCAGTAAAAACCAAAAACTTTTCCTACATAACCCAAACGTGATGAAAATGCCCCTTAGGCTAAAAAAAAAAAGAGATCATTCTTTTAATTAATTCCTTTTGCAAGATAAACTCCTCTCTACCCTCTCCCTTAGGGAAGGGTGTATTTGCAAATTGCTTAATGTGATGGTTTGTTTTGAAAAATAAAAAAAAAGTGTGAAAATATTTGGTTTGAGGGGCATTATCGTCACTTTGGGGGTTATGTGGGAAAACTTTTGGTGTTTAGTAGAAAAACAAAGTATTGGAGTTTTCGTGGGAAATGCCCCCAAAGTATTGGGAGGTTTTGTGTAATTTACCCACGAAACTATATTGTTTTCCCATGTGGAAATAATTTCTATAAATTTCCTGGATATACTAATACTCGGATACGCTAATAACGAAAATACTGGTTCCCAGGGAAGCTAGGATTGGATGAAAACCCTAAAATGGATACATTGACTACAGTACTGCCACCGACACCAGCACCACGCTCAACCAGAGCTGCTCCTTCCAGGAGAAGAGCAAGGCGTGAAGCTTCTTCAGATGAGGATGAAGAAGAAGAAGCTTCCTTCCCCCCTGCTGTTCCAATGACTCCTAGCATTGTAAGCATGCGATCTCAAAGGGCAAGCAAGACCATGGCGATGTCCAAGATGACAGCTAAGACTAAGATCGAGTTCTCAGATGAGGAAATCCCCGAAGAGTCAGATGTGACATCGGAGGACGCTTCGGATGAAGCTTGTGACGATATGAGTTGATTTCGTGCTATTGTTAGATCTGTGGTTTTTGTATCTGGTTCACTAAGGATGAACTATGTATTATTGCTAAAGATATTTCATTAAGGAATCATCCATGACGTTGGATGTAAATCTAGGCTATGTGTTTGATAATACGCCTGCATTGTCTTGGGAGGGTGGAAGTTCAAAAGAAAATATTCGGAAGTGTGTAATGTTGTTAATGCATTCAAAATGCATAAAAGGATGAATTCTGTATTATTTCAAAGTTGATTTAGTTGTATTCGATGGGGTTCATATTCGGTATTGTATGTGTAATGATATTCTATGATATCAAAGTAAAAGAAATAAAAAATAAAAATGGTTCACTGTTATGAGAATATCCAGAGGAGCAATTGCGCAATATTGACATCAAATGTCTGACATTTTGAGTTTTTATGACATTATGCTTCCGAGTTCTGTAGCTACCGAATCCTACAGTCAGATCATACAGGTAGAAAAATTTTCAGTCCTGAGTCTCCTTACATGGATTTTTATATTGCAATTGTAATTTCGATAGTTAATCTAAAAACGAAACCATAGCTTTATCACGAGACATTTCGCGCGCAAATAAAAGCCTTCCAAGTAGAATGCGCCGATACCCGTCAATACAGTAGGGAATACTCAATCCTTCTACAAGTCGATATTGTATTAATGACGGCTAATTAGGATGCAATGCGTTCTTTAATCAAGTTTTGGGAAAAATTATCTATCTACTAATAAAAATGCTCATACTTTGTGTTTTTAATTTTGTTACCAAAATTGCAGTTTATTTTGGTATAACTCCAAAGACGAGTTTCGTTTTAAACTTGGTGGTGAGTTAGTCATTTTGACTCCCTCGGAACAAGTAGACTACCAGATCCACATTCACGTACAATGATTTTAGGAATTATATCAAAGTAAGCAAGGCATCTTAAGAGGAGTGTGATTCTAATCGGTACCGCTTGCATGTCAGCGGGTCGTTTTTGGCCTTTCAATGCACCCAACAGGTAGCAAATTGGTAATTTGTCCCCTCATTATGTGACTCAAAACCACTCGTTCCACGTGGGTGGTTCTGATAAGATATGCTGTCTCTTAAGAGTAATTAAAAAAGTTCAGAAAAATAATTATCAAGTGGATAATATGAGACATTTTATTGTTGCATTTCCCCCCCAAAATTTAAAATTGCATGCCTTGTGTAGGAGAGGTCAGGAGCGTATGAAATCTGCTGGCGAACGATAAAAAAAAATTCAGAATCAATCGCAATCATCCACGTGGAAAAATCTCGTCCTTCAAATTGAAAAGTGCTTGCTTCTTAAGTCAAGCCCCAAGAATCACTTCACCCCTCATCGTCTCTTTCCTCTCTCCTCCCCAAAAACCCTAGAAATCTTAATCTTCCCTCAGAGTTCCCAAAATTCCGCATAAACTAAAGAAACCCCAGATTCAAGAAGAATCTTTCACCTACTTCGATCGTAGATCTCCTCGCAATTCCTCTCACTGAAACCCTAGCATTCATCAGCACGAATATCTCTTGATCTTTGTTCGGGCGATCGAGGGAACTTCGTTTTCTTTCTGGTAATCATCTTTTTCTTCATAATATTCTTTAGTTGATCGTAATTCGTCTTGTCTCAAGTTCTTTGCTTTGATTTGAGACTATACCTGTAGTTGACCTTGATTATAGAGATTAGGTTTTGTTTCGGTTAAATAAGTAGGGGTTGAGTTCTCTTCAATCTATAACAAAGTGCAGTTATTGTCCGGATCCATGATGATATGTTAGGATCAATTGAGTGTCATGTTGATCATTTTGATGCGAGTTCATAGAGATTGGGTTCTGTCCTTTAAACAACGAGGTTTTCAGTAGTGACTTTGACCCTGTCTCTAATACTACCGGTGTAATTGGCGTTCTTTTAAATTTAAATTCGTTGTGTTTTGTTGGCGCTTTGCGTAACAATAGATTTAGTTCATTAGTTGGAGTGTTTTCAGTGTGTTTGATTGGTTGTTATATTGTTTTCGTCAAAATTGCCGTTTTTTTTACTCTGGCAGATGGTGATACCGAATTGCTGTTTTTGTCCTGCAAGTTTTGATGCTGGTATTGCAATGTTTGGCTGTGTGTTGTCTCGTGCAAAGCCAGTCCATCTGGGCGCGGGAACTGTAGAATTGTGGTGATATATCAGGATCCATTTAGCGCCATATTGACCATATAATTACTTTTGATGTGAGTTTATAGGGATTTGATTCTTCCTTCAAACAACTAGGTTTGAAAAGTAACTTCTCCGAGATCTCTAACATCGACTGTGTAATGAGTTCTTTTCAATTTCAATTTATAGGATGCTTGTTGTTATTATGCATAGGAATAGATTTAGGTCATTAGCTAGAGGTATTTGGTTCTTGTTGGGAAATTACTCTCATTCCCCTATTACCAGATTTAAGAGAAAGCGAAATAAATGCGAAAAAAGGGGACACGCAAGATTTACGTGGTTCGGCACAAACTTGCCTACGACCACGGGCTGCTGCAGATCTTTCACTATGAAGAGAAATTTTACAACACTCACAATTTTCTCACAACCCAATCCCAACTTTGAAAATTGCTCACAATTTTCTCTCACAAAGACTTTTCTCTAAGTCCCTCTTTTCTCTCTCTTGCTCTTCTATAAAAGGAGTTGTTTCTGGGATGAGTTTTTCCTTAAGAGTTTGGGGCCTATTTATAGTGTTTGGGAAAATACTATGCACTAGTATTTTATTAGTTGTAGGGCCCGCTGTGGGGCCTGCCCACCTTTTTTTTCTTCAAAAATATTTGTTAAAAACGTGCCTTTGAAATTGAGTGTTAGGTTGCCTAACACTCAAGCTGCCAAATTTGACTATTACAACCCATTTGTATTTTTTAATATTCTTGATCCCTATATAAGGGGATGTTGTATAAGGGTTCAAAGCACGAAAAACTCAGAGAGTTTAGATATAAAAAATAGAGTGAGAAAAGAGTGAGATAGAAATGTTGTCCCTTTCTTTGTGAGAGTCTCTGGTTAGAAAGTGGTCTCCTCTTTTGTATTCTTCTCTTTTGGTGATTAGTGAAGTTCTCTGCTGTTCTCGTCCGTGGACGTAGGTCATACTGACCGAAGATTATCTGTATTAGAAGAAGTTGTATCAACCTCTCAGGAAGTAAGTCAGATGACATGAAGGATGAAGAGTTAGCTCTTCTCGACAGACAAGCCCTTGGAGTTATCCGATTGATGTTATCCCGTAATGTTGTCTTCAACATAGCAAAGGAAAAGACCACGGCGGGTCTTATGGTGGCTCTCTGCAGCATGTATGAGAAGTCCTCTGCCTCAAACAAAGTTCACTTGATGAGACGACTGTTTAATTTGCGAATGACGGAAGGCTCATCGACAGCTCAACATCTCAATGAACTCAACATAGTCACAACCCAGTTGAGTTCAGTTGAGATTAAGTTTGATGAGGAAGTTCGAGCGTTGATCCTTTTGTCTTCCCTACCAGAAAGCTGGAACGCTACAGTCACGGCTGTGAGTAGCTCATCGGGAAGTAACAAGTTGAAGTTCGATGACGTTTGTGATCTGACTCTTAGTGAAGAAATTCGACGGAGAGAATTAGGTGAAGCTTCAACCTCTTCAGTTTTACACACGGAGTCTAGGGGAAGAACTTCAGAAAGAAGTTCAAATCACGGCAGATCAAAATCTAAACGGAGCAAATCTAGATCAGGAAAGAAAGTCTTCAAGTGCTACAATTGTGGCAAGAATGGTCATTTAAAGAGGAAGTGTCGGGCACCGAAGAAAAACACCGACGCACAGGAGTCTGCCAACGTGACCGAGGAAGGACGTGATGCTATGATTCTAAGCGTCAACAGTCCGATTGAATCATGAATTCTTGATTCAGGGGCATCCTTCCATTCCACCTCATGCCGAGAAATCATGGAGAACTACGTCAGCGGTGATTTCGAAAAGGTACATCTAGCAGATGATGAAACCTTAAAGATTATTGGCAAGTGAGACATCCGATTAAAATTATCAAATCAAACCACATGGAAGATGTAAGGAGTGAGACATATTCCTGGTCTTAGAAGAAATTTGATCTCTATGGGATAGCTTGATGGAGAGGGTTATTGTACAACCTTCTCGGATCATGAATGGAATATTATCAAAGGAGTATTCGTCATTGCTCGAGGTAAGAAAAATGATATTCTCTATATAACCTCTAACTTAGAGAATATCATTGCAGTAACAGATACAGATAAAAAATCAAACCTATGGCATCAAAGGCTTGGTCATATGAGCGAGAAAGGGATGAAGACATTTTTGTCAAAAGGAAAGCTGTCGGATCTGAAGAATGTAGATGTCGGCCTATGCGAGGGTTGCATCTTTGGCAAACAGAAAAAAGTCAGTTTTGTAAAGATTGGCAAGACACCCAAGACAGAAAGGTTAGAATTGGTTCATACCGACGTATGGGGGTCATCTCCAGTTTCATCTCTTGCATGCTTACTGTACTATGTCACATTCATTGATGATTCTACAAGGAAGGTATAAGTCTATTTTCTGAAGAAGAAATCAGAAGTCTTTGATACCTTCAGAAAATGGAAGGTAATGGTGGAAAATAAAACTAGTTTGAAGATAAAGCGGTTGAGGTCAGACAATGGAGGAGAGTATAAAGACAGTAAATTCAAAGAGTTTTGCGCAAACAGCGGGATCAAGATGGAGAAAACAGTTCCCATGACACCGTAACAGAATGGCGTAACAGAGCGTATGAACAGAACTTTGAATGAACGTGCCAGAAACATGAGGTTACATGCCGGCTTACCCAAGTTTCTATGGGCTGAAGCTATCAATACCACAGCCTACCTAATCAACTGCGGGCCCTCAGTTCCTTTGGATGGTGGAATACCGGAAGAAGCTTGGAGCAGAAAAGAGGTAAACCTTTCATATTTAAGAATTTTTGGTTGTATCTCTTATGTACACATAGATTCTGCTGAAAGAAGTAAACTTGATGTCAAATCTAACAAATGTGTTTTTGTTGGTTATGGTGGTGATGAGTTTGGTTAACGATTTTGGGATTATGAAAATCGGTAGATCATCAGAAGCAGAGATGTCATATTCAATGAGAATGTGATGTACAAAGACAGATCAACTGCAGAATCAAGTGGCTCTAGTACAAAAGCTGAAACAAAGGAATTTGCTGAATTTAAGAAGATTTCTGAAAAGGATGTCCATACTAGCCCTGAAGCAGTTCGAGAAGAACCAAGCACGCCAGAAGTGAGACGCTCCTCCAGAATTCCTAAGCCAACTCAGCGTTATTCGCCTTCTTTGCACTACTTGTTGATGACTGACAGTGATGAACCGGAGTGTTATGATGAAGCAATGTCGGTGAAGGATTCAATCAAGTGGGAGTCTGCTATGCAATATGAGATTGACTCGCTCATGTCAAATCAGACGTGGGACTTAGCTGAATTACCACCAAGTAAGAAAGCTCTTCATAATAAGTGGATTTACAGGATCAAAGAAGAACATGATGGGAACAAGCGTTACAAGGCAAGGTTGGTTGTCAAGGGCTTTCAGCAAAAGGAATGTATTGACTACAATGAAATTTTCTCTCCGGTCGTGAAACTGACTACAATCAGACTGATGTTGAAAATTATAGTTGCTGAGAATTTACATCTTGAGTTGTAGTTAATATCTTCCTTTTGCTGAAAACCTTTGACAACCAACCTTGCCTTGTAGCGCTTGTTCCCATTATGTTCTTTGATCCTGTAAATTCACTTATTATGAAGAGATTTCTTACCTGGTGGTAATTCAGCTAAGTCCCACGTCTGATTTGACATGAACGAGTCCATCTCATATTACATAGCAGACTCCCACTTAACTGAATCTTTCATCTGCATTGCTTTATCATAACACTTCGGTTCACCACTGTCAGTCAGCAACAGGTGTTTGCGTCGAAAGTTAATGTATTCATTGCGGTATTCATTACAACTTCGGTCGTTACAATGAAAACAAAAAAATATTCTTTTTATAAGATCTTTACACAATGAAAACAAAAGTTACAACTCTCGTCAAAACAAACGCAGAGATCGTTTATCGGTCTTCTGCTTGCGTGGGATCTTTGCCTGTGCCGGGGTTTATCCGTGGACCGCCTTAGATCTGGATCCGGTTGATGGAAAATTCGGCAGAGTTTCGTCTTCGCCGAGGAAGTATTTGATTTGAAGCGCTGAAATCGACCAAGCGAAATCAGGGCTCTTCTCGAGATTAAGACCAAGCCTAATCTCAAGGGACGGACGGGAACGGGCGTCGGATCTCTCGAACTCTCCTTCGTTATGCCGAAGAACTCGCCAAGATCTGTTAACCCTCGCTGAAATTCGTGCTCCTTTGACTCCACAATCCGGCAGCACCTCCTCGTCTTGATAATCAATCGCCCCTGAAAAATGGAGGCCTTTGACTCATATTTATAGGCCTCGAATGCGGTTATTTGGATGAGAACAAGTGATTTGGCTCTATCTTCAGTTGACAACAGCCTAACCACGTTTGTAGATGATATCAAGTCAGTTGGGAACCTCTGGAACCAACAAATCTCGA